CGTCCGCAATACTTTTTTTTTTTAAACTTTAGTAGTTTATTATTCTACGCTAATTGTTGAACGAGACATTAACGTAGAAGAAACGAACATGGAATAGACAAATCTATTTGTTTGTTTGTTTTTTTTTCTTTCTTTCTTTTAGTTGCGTGCTGTGCACATGATAACACAGTGCTATCCAGCGTACTAGACTGCGATTATCTAAAGTAAAGGGTGCCTCGAAGCAACGATCGCTAATTATCAAACCTCTACCAATTTCGCGCGATAAATTTTGTACATTGCTTCCTCCTCGCGCAAGCGATCTATCTAAATCCTCCTTCTTGGAGTATTCGCTAAGTTATGTCGTATATCGATCATATTTTCCTCTTACCCAGAATCACGATCTTCGATCACAACGCGCATTCGTATTCGCTTCACACGGTTGTTAGATTACAATTTGTCTCTCGTACGCGTCGATGATTACATTTGGCGAGAAAGTGCAGAGACAGAGAGAGAGAGAGACAGAGGGAGGTTTATTTTTCTTATAGACATACAGAACTACCGGGACTGATGAAAGATCGTGCAGGCTTATACGAATAAATGCTTAAACGAATCGTCGAATTTCGCGTCGATCGTTGGTTGAAGATCACGCGAGAGAGTTTCGTTCGATCGCGGCGAGATGGCGCTCGGACACCTTTGGAGAACTTTGGAGAACGCGTCTCTCATGTTTCCGCGCGAGTACAGTGGGCGGGAAATTCGTTTCTGAAAATTCGAATTCGATCGAAAGAGAAGAGATTCGTTCCCAACTTCGTGCACGTTTCCGGGATATACTATTCCTCTTCTTCTTCTTATTCTTCTTATTCTTCTTCTTATTCTTCTTCTTCTTCTTCTTCTGTGTTTTCTATTTTCTTTCTTCTCTTTGTTTTTTTTCTTTTCGCATCGTTCGAGAACACATCGGCCAGGAATACGTGTGTTTCCGCGAGTGAATTACAATCTAGTACGCCGGAAGAATATCTAGACGGCTGAATCCTTGCCGACGAAACCGGTCTTCGAGACGGATCTCTTCCCGTCGAACGTGATGGATGTTTCCCGGCGGAGGCCCGAGTCGATGATCGGCGTGATCTTCTTCTCTTCCTTCAGCGGCTCCTTCTCGTCTCTAGAATGTTTCAATAGAAAACGACATCGGTTATTAATGGGCGACGGATTCGTCGAGGTGGTTCTTATTACGATTATTATGCTTCTAGTACCGGGCATAAAAGAGCATGTCGAGATGCGGCGCGTGGTGCAACATCGAACAATACGCATAATAAATGCATGCCATCGCTCGTTAGTATCGTGTAACCTACTGTTGTGACGTCGTGGTCTCTGTTCTTCGTTCTGCAATGTGTATATGATGAAACGCGAAACGTTAGGGATGTAGATGTACGTGGCCGAAAGAACGGGAAGATATCACTTGCACGATGCAGAATAAGTGAAGGTTAAGTAAGTTGTTAAAATGTTTCGGACTTTGTGGCGCGATATTTCTTTACGAGTGAAAAATTCAATCTCCGGTCGTCGGTAATTAATCTTTTCCTTCTTTTTTTTTGTTTTCTTTTCTTTTTTTTTCACAGAGGCAATGAAACTGAATTACTTATTTTCACCGAATCCGACGGTCGAATGGAACAGGGTAAATTAGAGCGAGAATGATGGTGAATGTGCTACGTGGTTAACGAGCAATTAATATCACTTCAGAGTGTTGATATCTCATGCAGCATAGCCAAAGCACGGGCGAATAATGGCGATAGTTTATGCAGCGCGCATAAAGAGAGAGAGAGAAAGAGAGAAAGGTAGGAGACTGGGGATGAAAGAGAGGGAGAACAAGTGTTAAATGAACTGAACATGGTGGATAATGTACAGTGTTCTTTTGTACGAAAAGTGGTTGGCGGCAAAACAAATTACATTCATGCTGCAATTCTGCTTTTCATCGACCATTAATCTCGTTTAATCAATTGATGCCATTCTTGAATTACTGTGTGTCTGACGTTTCCAGGATGTTTACCAGCATCGTGGAGCCAAGAAATCTGTGTGTGTGTGTGTGTG